CTGACGTTGTTAACATCTGTTGTCCTCTCTTAGGCTTGTGATTTTTAATTTTTTTTAAATAATATTTTTTTATATGTTAGCTGTTTTATAGTCTTGTTATACACTGCCAAGGGTCACTTTTTTGTGAGATGGGTGGTTATATAAAATTGATAAATAAATTAAAGTTGTCATGCCCATTTTTACAAGATATGTTCCTTAAGATATGCATTCCTGTATACTTTATTTTATTTATTTATTTATTTATTTATTTATTTATTTATTTGATTTGCCAATTGTTTACAAGATAATAAGTATAAATGTATACATAGTTGTGAATACATGAAATGGGTACATATAAGAAAAATAAAAGAATAAGAGAAACAATAGGACAGGGACGGTAGGCACGTTGGTGCGCTTATGCACGCCCCCTACAGGCCTCTTAGGAAAGGGGTGAGGTCAATAGTAGACAGTCTAAGGTTAAAGTTTTTGGGGTTTGGGGAAGAAACTACAGAGTCGGGTAGAGTATTCCAGACATTGACCACTCTATTGCTGAAGTCGTATTTCCTGCAATCAAGTTTGGTGCGGTTTACTTTGAGTTTGTATCTATTGTGTGCTCTTGTGTTGTTATGGTTGAAGCTGAAGTATTCATTGACAGGTAGGACATTGCAATGTATGATTTTATATACCATGCTTAAGTCAGACCGAAGACGGCGTAATTCAAGGTTTTCTAGTTCTAGAATTTCAAGTCTGGTGGCATAAGGTATTCTACAACGAGTAGAGGAGTGGAGAACTCTTCTTGTGAAATATTTCTGGACTTTCTCAATTGTGCTAATATCAGATACGTAATGTGGGTTCCAGACTGATGAACTGTATTCGAGTATTGGTCTAGCAAATGTTTTGTATGCTCTGGTTAGTAGTGTGATATTACCAGAGAAAAAGCTACGTAGGATTAGGTTAACAACTCTTAATGCCTTTTTGGCTATGTAGTTGCAGTGGGCTCTAGCACTTAGATCATTAGAGGTGAGTATTCCAAGGTCCTTTACAGAGCATGGGTCATCAACAAGATCTTGACTATTCAGCTTGTATTTTATTTTCTGATTTTTTTTGCCAATATGTAAGACAGAGCCAATATGTACTACCAGAACCAATACAATTTCATTGCCAGTAATGCAAATGCAGAGGCGAGTTGTGCATAATTTGTATCATTGATGCTTTCTTCTTAAGTCCACTTCTGATTTGCTTAATGCTTGGGCTTGCTTCCAACGGGCCAGAGCAACAAATGTTGATGATCGTGGTGATATGAACATGAAAAGGATTAATAAGGAGATAGTACAGTCTAGCAGTTAAGAACTGTTAGCTGAAACACCGGAAACACCTGTTTGAACTGTGACCTTTGGAAAAACATCCTATAAAGTTGCTTTGAAAAGGAAGCACCTTTTAAAAGGAGGAAATGTGCAATAGTTGCCCCTGGGGAATATAATGTGCAAGATCAGATGTGGCTTTCTGATCTTTCTTTCACAATTTATGGGCAGATTTAAGTCATCCAGGCCTTGCCCTATAAACATGTGCAGCGGTGATATCTTGTCTGTTAATAGAGATGGAGATGGTGATCATTGTATATTCACCAATAAAAGAAAGTGTGGGACAAGTGACATATAAATTGCCAAAAGATATTCTGGATGCCTTTGAAGATAAGCTTCTTTTTGGGGTGACCTGTTTTTCTACAGAATTTGCCTCTATAGGAGCTTTTATCATTTTTCCTTCCCTATCAACTGCCAATTCCCCTCTCTTGGTCTGCACCCCTTTTGTTCCCTGGTTCTCTTTCATTTTCTTTCCAGAGCAGTTCCCTTTTTTTTCTTACCCCATTATTCTCTCAGGAATGTATGTATGCATATTTATAAGTTTCTGGGCATGGGAACACTTCTAATGTGAGTGCAAGGACAGTTAATATACAGGCAGGGTATTTTGTAATGGGCGATTAATTGAAGTAATATGTATTTACCTTATAACCTGGCCTGGCCTTTGGGGGATTGTAGGAAGTATACATAATATACACAAATCTATTTCCTGCAAAGTTGGGAGGCACACTATCTTTATTAGCATTTAGAAAACATTTTTAAAACTGGCTTTTAAGTATTAATTAATTGTTAATTGTTATTATTAGTTTTCTGTCTGTTGGTTTTAATTGCTCTTTGTTTTGGTGAATTGGTATCCATTTGTTTTATTGTAAACTGTTAAGAAATTGAATATTTATCAGTCTAGCTCAATATACAAGACATTGTATATCAAGCCAGACAAATAAATACACGAATGAATAATATACAGTATGCACATAAATTTTTATATTTGTCATGGACTCATTTATTAGAGACAGGGTGGGAAGGGGAATTTGCAAGCCTGGTTTGAACTGGAGTTGACAACCATAGATAGACAAGATGGAGAATTTGGGCACTGAATACTGAATTGTTCCCTGTGCTTATAATTTTGTTGTTGACTCTTCTTTGGCGTGAAGGTGATTTCAAATTCAGGGTCTTCATAAATATATTAATAGCATTGATCTACCTTAATTCTTTTAAGGGTTACTCAGTTTGTTCATGTTAAGTGCCTATCAATATTATCAGAATGGTAGCAAAGGAAAACATGAGTATTTACACTGTTCTATTTTACTCTTGTGATAGGAAATGGATTTTAAAAATAGCTCAAGACCAATGCACTTCCTCTTTTTGAGCCTCAGATTGAAAAAAACTCAAGAATGTAATGCAAAAATTTCCATCATGTGCAGAATGTGTATTATCACTTACGTATATTATAATATTATATAACACAAACTTATATGCAAATACACACACATATAGAATCCTACACCCAACAATTTTGCCCAGACATAAGCTGTGTTATATTGCAAAGAAACATGGATAGGATGACAGTAATATTCTAAATGCATGTCTATCAGGTTGGGTTCAGATATTACCATCTTTTGTGAGAAACATTTGGTTTCTCACTATTTTTCCTGCATTTGTTTTAAATCATATAAAAGATTGGCTAATTGTACTAGGAGCTGATTATATAGAAGCACCTCTAAATGTACCATGAATTATGCAAATATTTAGTTTTGAAATAAACGTGTTTCCTGAATGTGTATGTATAAAGAACAATTATGTAAAGAGACATATTAGAACCAAGATAGATAAGGTACTGCACAGTGGCTACAGCACAGTGAAATATATATACTTTCTCTTTCAGCTATCCTTATCAATTCACAGTAGTGTAGTATAGTTTTCCTTCTCCTCCTCCTCCACCTCCTCCAATAAAAAGGAAGAAAGTAAGGTATAAAAACCAAAGTGGGAGAAGTGCCACATCCCTTGTGGTATGTATGTAGGACTACAATTATGAGGGAAGCAATATTTCACTTTTCTGTAACATTTGCAATTTATCACGACAATGTGGGTGGCATTTCCATTTTAAATTTCATTCATGCTGCCCTCTCTAACAAAATAGCAATTGGAGATCAGTGGGAACATTGGTTATATATGATGCTGGAAATTTAATTTCACAGATGGCAACAAAAATTTGAGGACAGTGAGAGCTCCCAGGAAGAATAAATGATTGTGAATTGCCTTTCCCCTATTCTGAAAATGCTAAATTCTACCATATGATTAAAAGCTTCTAGCCTACCACCAGATTACCATTATGACTCAAGTCTGGTAGTGCTTTTTACTGCAACACTGGGCTGGCAGTTGCAACTTCCATCATCTCAAACCAATCTCAGAAAATTGCCAAGGGAGAATGAGGCTTGGGATTTTGGCCCACCTTCTTGCAATGGCATTATCTGGCCTCTGAAATAGGTGTTCATTGTATAGGTTGTTTTTGAGGGTATTTTTTTTACAGCATACAGAATATTTAACAATTAATTAATAGACTTTTAGATAGGTTAACCTACTTTTATTACTATAGTTGGTCACACAGCCAGATGTTTAGGCTGGATTTGCCATTTTTTTCCCATATCAAGTCCTTCCCAAGAACCTGGGAAAGACAGATATTGTTGTTTAAATGTATTGTCGGAGGATTTATCTGTTCCAAGTAAAGCTGTCTTTGCAATTGACTGATGGGAATTTTGTCAATGCCCATAATATTCATACTTCAGATGTTTTGGGATTGCAGCCAGGGTGCCTATTACTATTAGTACTATCTTTGCTTTTTTTTGCCACAGTTCTACTTCTATTTGTAGGTCTTTATATTTTGTGATTTTCTCCAGTTCTTTCTTTTCTATCCTGCTGCTTCCAGTTATTGTAATGTCAACTATCCAGATTTTTTCCCCTTTCTTTTCCATAATTTTTAAGTCTGGTATTTCAAAAATATTGCAGTTTCTAAAAAGCTATATAACTATTATTATATTAAAATATAAAATATAGTTATGAACCTAGCATTTTATAAAAAGCTATTTGATGATAAGAAGAAGAAAAAACCCCACAAATCCTAGAGTAAACTACAGAGAGAGAGAAAGGGGGGGAATCCCAAGAAAAAAACAGCTGGTGGGGAGAGAGGGAGGGAAAGAAAGAGACAAACAAAATAGCAACACAATTATAAGCAACTAAGTAAAACTAAACTATGTATTTATATTAGATATAATTTAAATTATATATCAACAGGTAGGTAGGTAGAGGTAGATAGACAGACAGACAGACAGACGGAGACAGGGCAGGCAGGCAAGCAGGTGATAGATAGAGCTATAAACATACACAGCTTGTTAAATTTAAATTCTAGTATTTTATTTGTTTGTTTATCAAATTTAAAGACTGCTATCTCATTTACCAAGTAATGTTATTAAGATTATATAATTAAATCTAAAGCCCTACCGAATCGTATTTTACAGTTTTACCTGTACAAAGCTTTGGTACAAAAGCTAGAAATTTCATTTAACCAACATTTAGAGTCTGGGATATAAACATTCTTCCATTTTCTTGTTATTCCCAAATTAAATATAATATCCCATCCTTATTATTATTGTTTTGTTTTCATAGTTTCTGAAGAACAGCTGTTGACAGTTGAAGAATATGACCTCAATGTGGTGAGACTCTGTTTCCAAGCATTCCTCTCTGATAAGCTTGGCAACTGCACACAACCTATATCCCCAGTTATCTCCAACCCCATTTATGATAACCGTAAGTATCTAAGAACAGGGTATATTTCATGTCCAATTTCTTCTGCTGTGCTCCCTGCAAGCTCTTTGGCCCCAGTTATTCTCTATGGAGTTGCTTCATCTCTCTTCTCCCTAAAATGCAGAAGATAACTGAAAGCATCTTTGGCAGACACAGAATTCAATTTGAATATAAATATGTTTTCAGATTTAATGACAAATTGTGTTATATTTCCGTACATATATGGCAGAGAATTTGGCCATTTCCCTGCTGTTTATTTAAAGCCCAATCTTTTTTCTGCTAGGAGAAAACATTCTGCTATTAAAGGAGAATATTTATAACTCAGGATTGAAATGAAGGATCCTTGCTGCTCTCTGAACTTGGTTGTTTTCTTGCACTGATGATGTTACCTAGTTTAGATAATGAAACATCTTCAATAAAACAAGCAAGCTCAGAGACCAGCAAAGACCCCCTCAAGAATCATTGTGATCATAATTTGCTCCTCTGCTATCTTCCCTCAGTGTCAATGGAGGCAGGAAATAATTACAAATTAAGGAAGAAAAAAATGGGATTCTTGTTTCCTTTGGTGTTATTTCAACCTTGCACTAGTTCAGTTTTCTGAAAATTCACCTCTACCCCTCCTCTGTCCTGGTATGATTTTAAAGACTGGTGGCATGTTATTTGGCACTGAAAGACTTGAATCTTGGGTAGAAAGCAAATTGACTAGAATGTAGTCAGTGAAGCCCTTAAAATTGCCAGATATATTTTTGGATATTTGAAAACTGTTATTTTTCCCTTTGTGAGTTCCACATTTTTGTATCTCATCATTTTGTTAAAACCACTCCTTTTCTTGAGCATGTTTTAACAGATTGTTATGTTTTTAACTTTTATACAGCTAAAGATTGATTTTTAAAAGGGTGGGGAGGCAGCAAACATTTTTTGAGACCTGGTCTTACTTGAGAAGGCAAATGTTGGGGGGAAATAGTGGTGGCAGGTGCTGGCCAACACCCAAACAGAGAGGAACTAAAGAAAGGCACTAAGCATTATCAAAGAGGAATATCAGGGATGGTGGGCATAATGATCACTTCTTTGGTTAAGCCCATTCATGGCAATACTCAGAAATAAATCCCCTGATTAATTACACAACAGATTAATTATGCTGCAAATTTTCTTGCTATGATAGGACCCTGTTTTTGAGCAACAAAATGAACACTTAATTCAGAATTCAGAATGACAACAGAAACAGAAAACCCATTAAATTTTGTGCTGAGAACTAAAGAAAGGCAGCAAGCATTATCAAAGAGGAACATCAGGGATGGTGGGCATAATGATGTCATGTAAAATGCTGGTGGGTAAAGTGGGCTATGTGGATGCTTGAAATGTATCTATTGCTTTCTGTGCTTTACCTATCTTCAGTTAAAGAGTTGCTTGCAGAACTTTCTCCCCCCCCCCAGTTCTATTTTTAGACGTATGTAATCATAATAGCCATTCTTTATCCTTCTCTCCCCCAATAATTAATTCCTTTTTCTATTCAGGTGCACCTAATTCAGCTGAATTGAGAATCTGCCGTGTGAACAAGAACTGTGGAACAGCGACAGGAGGAGATGAAATTTTCCTCCTGTGTGACAAAGTTCAGAAAGGTGATTGGAAACTCAAATACCATGTATAGTATAAATGTTAACTTTAGATATCAAAGAATGAGATATGAAGAAGCAACCAATTTTATATGGATACATGTACACTTCCAAAGTGGAAGTGGTTGAACTGAATGCCAAATATTCATAAAATTGAGTTATGACATGTAATCTAGCAAAATATTGTAATATTTAAGTATGTAACTTGGGCGGTTAATGGTGCAACCAAAAAAACTCTATAGTTTGATTCAAATTCCATCCAAACATTGTATAATCCATTGATTTATATACTGTAGATCTATGAAACAATGCATGTACTAGTTTTGAACTCAGAAGCACATGCCTGTCCTCACCCTTGTCATTTTCAGAATGCCCAGAATTGCTCAATACTCAATCAAGACTCCTTTCAGCTGATCAAGGAGGAAATGCAAAAACTGGCATCTGCGTGTTAATATGTAATGTTTGTTTTTGTGTAAGGAAGAACAAAAATGGATTAGTGTAAGGGAAAGCTGTAAAATTGTCCTGCTGCTTAATTTAAAGAGTCCAGTGAAATTGGAGCAACTCTTCCAGATATTCCAGAGAGCTAGGGAAATGGGGCAAGGTAAAACTCTTTGCCAATGGGAAATGGCCAGTCCTACAGCCACAGTGTTAAAGCTGCAAAACTGCCTTTCAAGCATTTCTGGGGCTGCAATTAAGCCTGTACTGTATGTGTATTGCAGCAGATGTCTATATGATATTTCACATGTTACAGAATAACCAGCACTGGCAATCAAAATACAAGCTTTAGCTACTTACGTTGTATATCAGACCACCCCAACCAGTGGCCGTCCAGATGTCTTATGCCCGGTACTATCAGCCAGTACAGCTGCTGGCTATGGAAGACGGGAGCTGGAGACTGGTACTTTAAGTGCCAAATTTAGAAAATTCATCATCTAGAATGACCAGTGATGAGATGATGTGGAGATAAGATTAATTAATAAGTTGCTGATTCAAGGCTACTAAGTTTTTCAATCTTAGCAACTTTGAGACACGTGGGCTTCAATATGCTGGTTGGGGGATTCTGTGGGAGTTGATGTCCACAAATCTTAAAATTGCCAAAGTTAAGAAATGCCACACTAAATAAAAGAAATCTGCTAAGGTAAACAGAAAAACAATCCATTCCATGTTAAATTTAAGACTTTCATAATCTTAGTCTTAATAAAATATGAAAGCTGGCTAAACTGGGCTACTTCTAAGTGCTATTCTTTCCCAAATAAGTATATGCCAGATGTATTGCTATGACATTTACAATCCATATAGAAAGCAGAACCGATCCTTTTTGGTATTTCATGTTAAAAAAAAATACTCTTTGAACTATTGTTTGTTGTTTTATTCCTAAAATTAAGTGTGATATTTATATCTTTCTGATGAACAGATGATATAGAAGTGAGATTTTTCATGAATGACTGGGAAGACAGGGGGATTTTTTCACAAGCTGATGTTCATCGTCAAGTAGCAATTGTCTTCAAGACGCCCCCATTTTTCAAAGATATCCCAGATCCTGTGACTGTGAAGATGCAATTGCGAAGGCCCTCAGATCAGGAAGTCAGTGATCCAATGGACTTTAGATATTTACCAGTGGAAAAAGGTACATTCTTATACACATTTGTTGAGGTAGGACTAGCTACTGCTTTGGAATCAGGGCTCGTGCTAATTTAAAGAAGAACTTACAGATTTCTGATCTGGGAACAATTTATTTTTCTGTCAGTACTATAGTATTATTGTGGCACAGTCTTCCCCAGCTTAGTGTTCTGCAAACATTCTGGAGCGTCAAATACAGAATTCCCAGTCAGCATGGCCCTGTGCTAACTGGAAAGGCTGAGAGTTAAAATGCAGCATGCTTCAGGTTGAAGAAGATTGCTTTAAGACAAAAAGAAAGAAGTCATTTTAAAAGCTGCTGCTATAATCTACCTTTGCTTGTGCTTCAGAAACAAGGCTGGTGATATTGGCTGCCCACACAGAAACAGTTGTCCACATAGAAACAGCTGACTCCTTGGAGGCATTGAGAATTGTAGTGGGAGAAAGCTTTTGGAAACAAACTTTTGCAAAGACCAAAACAAAATAGATAAAATAGGATTCACTCAACTACACTGAGATACTGACGCATGAGGAGGCTGGTGGCCTGGCTGGCATTGCAGATATACAATGCATTATTTTAGGTGGGTGACATCAATGTGAGCCTCACTCTCACTGGGCTGCAGCCTTCTTTCCTTGGGGATGTTGCTGGCTGGGGAATTCTGGGAGTTGAAGTCCACACATCTTAAAGTTGCCAAATTGGCATACATGGGCAAAGCTTGGAAGTGAGAAATCTGCTTAATTATGGAGATTTTCCTCACTCCCTGAATGTTGGAGAATATGGCATACCAAATCTTTATACAGCGTCAATCTTCCCATCTCCCAAAATAGTCCCAACCTTTGGAAGCAGCATTTACAGTTGTCTCACTCCTGTTTTATGTTAGAAATCTTCCTTCCAGCACTCTGAATACTTACTCCTTAAAAAAGAAAATACTTTACAGCAAATGTTCTTCAGTTAGACCTCTGAAAGCTTAGTTAATTGGAAAACCTTAGGGTAATGAAAAAACATGCCATAAAAGAAATGAAAATTATAGGAGCTTTTCATTTTAAGAATATTATCAATTTCTTTGCGAGGAGTTAGCATATGTTAATATATTTAAAATGAAAGTTTGTGCAGCAAGAAGCAGTAGATCACATACAGACGACCCTAGATTCAAAAACAAAGTAGCAAATTGTATGAAGAAGCTTTGCTTGTAAGCTTGAAGAGTTATTTTCTGTCCAAATATACCAGGCTGAGTAAGAAGGCAACACTATGTAAGATAATATTCTATATTTTATTGTAGTCAATTGGAACACACAATTAAACCTTTCCTTTTCAGCAAACATTCCCAACATCATCATGTGTATGTACATGATTAGTTGAAATGCTGTTTTTTCCTTTCTGTTTTAGATCCTTATGGACATAAGGCAAAGAGGCAGAGGTCACCAATGGCTTTACAAAAGCTCATTCAAGATTCTGGTAAGAGTATATCTCATCCCATCTTATTTTGTTGTTCTAATATGAAGCCCCTCTCTCCCAAACTGGGTGTATCCTTGAGGCTTCCTAGCATCATTTGAATTGAGAATATTTTGACTCAGAAGTCCTATGTAGAGAGATAGAAGTCTGTGCCTTACAAAACCATTATGGGTTTCCTTTCAGTAAAAGCTGCACCATGCCACGCAACATCATACTTAAGTCAAAACATGTGATGTTGTAATTTATTCCGTCTCTGATCTCCTGCAATTGATACCATCTATTCACTTGTTTGGGAGTGACAAGAATGCCACTGTATCACTAGGTAGGGTCTAAGTTCTCTTCTTATGTGTGCAGGTCCACTAAACTGAACCACGATAGAATGTACAGGATAGAGAATTGGAGGCAAGCAGGGGTGGGATCTGACAGGGTTAACTACCAGTTCGGTCATTTATGAGGTTCGGTGATTTACGATGTGCTTCCCTGCACACTGCTGGCGGCGCGCCTGTAAATCATCATCAGCATGCTGCGTGCAGAGAAGCAGCCTTTCAAAAAGCCTTTTTTTCCTGCTTTTTTAACTGCAGCTGTGCCTTGCACGGCAGCTGAAGTTGAAAAAATCAGGAAATAAAGGTCAGGTAAGAGCCTGGGTGGACAGGTGGGCAAAAACATCAGCAGACATAGAACCCGTTCTATGTCTGCTGCTCTTCAGAGCTACCGGTTCTACAGAGGTGGACAGAACTGGTAGAAACCCACCCCTGGAGGCAGGCTTAAACATATATAAATGAAATGGGATGAGACCTCACTGCTTATTTGCTGCAAGAAGGCCTCTCTACATTGTCTTCTTGTTCTTCGTAATACAATGGCTCTCACTGGCTGGTTTTTTTAAAAAATATTTTGCATTCTTGACTTGGACTTAAATTTTATGGGGGGGGGGGGATTACAAATCTAAGGACTTCCAAAGTGATGTTGATGCTTCCCTCTTATTTTTCTTGACCCCATTTTTTTTAGTAAGAGGCTGGATTTAGACACTTTAGGCTAAAATTGGGTAATTGGGGATACAGTATGTTGGGGAATAGAGTCTTCATTATATTGGGTGAATCAGATCATCATCCTTATAGGATTTATTTCCTTTAGGGTAACAGCTATTCTTTCCATAGGTCCCTATGAAAGGTCTAATGCTGCTCTGTTCCAGACTGCTACCAGTGAAGGAAAATTCATTAAGAAAGGTATTTTTTTAAATGCCTTCTTTGTTCTGGCTCTTTGACTTTCTTTCTTCCTATCTCTTCCATGACAGTGTTTTAATGGCATACATTAAAAGAGAAGATATTTTAGTTTTGTAAAGTTTGTTTTGGTGTATACTGTATTAGTTAAGTTCTTTGAGTCCCGTACAACATTCTGAGTAATTATAGATTCTTCTTCTAGTCCAGCATATATATTGTTGGAATGCATTACTGCACTGCCCTGTTCCAAGCAGCTCCATGCATGGGTAATTCACTGATCCATCTAGTTCCTCTTCTCTACTCTTGGCTTTCTCTCCATTGCCTCACTTAATGTATTCCAGTGCAGCATATCCCACCTTCCTTCTTCTTCACATGCTAATTTATTTTATTTCTTTATTTATCAAATTTATATGGCCAGCCACCTTCACAAAGTTTCTTCCATGTATCTATCCTTGTCTCAATTTTCCCACCACTTTTCCTCCTTTTTTCAGCTACTGCTGTCCCAAACTGAATTTGCCTCAAACTCACTACCCCAATTTTCCTAATGCTTTCAGTCCCTCTGATCCCCTTGTTCCCTGATTTTCTGCGTGTTTTTTCATTTCCTCTCTCCTTGCCCCATTTTGGCCACTGGTCTCCTTGGCTTTTTGTATAACCCTAACTCCATTAAACCATTTATGTCTGGATCAGAAAAGTCATGCATGGAATGTTCTACACATCTCTATTCATTACTGATGGACAGAATATACATCAGGTTGTATATGATTTTTAGTTCCCATGAACTAAGAATCCTTACCATTGGGATCATTCTGGATTAAAAGGCAGGGGACAAATAAAAATTAAAAATTAAAAAATCTGCTTCAGGGAATCCACATCTTTTTTCCATTAATTTGTTGTCATATATTAAGGAGAACAAAGGTAGAATGAATGCTGTACAGGAGTCTTCTCCTGAATTAGTAGCCTCCAGATATATTGGATTACAGTTCTTATACCGTAGTTATAAACTGCCATGTCTACACTGGCTTGGAATTATAAGAATGTAGGCTAGGCTACCAGATTAAGTAGAATACAGCTGTATGGCCCAGAGTATTTGATGTGTGTAATGGTGATGGATTTTCAAGGAGACCTTTTTGTGTCCTCATGGTGAACTGTCAAAACCCTGCATACAAGAACTTCCGGGTTCAGTTTGTAGCATCTCCAACTTGGAATAGAAAAAAATAGTTCTAGTGCCAACAATACTTTGCTAGATAGTCTGATAAAGTATAATACAGTTTGCACTCTAACTCTGGAATATATGGGAAGATGAGTACTCCAAAGTCCTTGAAAGAGTGAGGGTTGTCTACAAGGTCATGTCCGTCCAGCTTGTATTTTATTTTCTGATATATATTTTTTGCCGATATGTAAGACAGAGCATTTGTTGTTTAAGATATGAAGTTGCCACTTGTTTGACCATTCTGACACATGGTTAAGGTCTTTCTGAAGGGTAGCAGCATTGTCAGTGATGTTGAATAGTTTTACATCATCAGCGAAGAGAATGCTGTTGCTTTTAATATGATCACAAAGGTCATTTATGTAAAGTATAAAGAAAGTTATAAATGTAAAGTATAAAGATAGTGTATAAAGAATATAATGTATATGTAAAGTATAAAGAATGTAAAGTATAAAGATAGTGCGGAAAATGTTCAAGAATTGTTGCCATAAGACTTTTCTAATCAATGATGACTTTTTTTTCACAGAACCAAATATATATTGCTCACCGATTGAAACAGCCATCCCACTGCAGAAAGGAAGCATTCCTTCCTTGCAGGCATATTATTCACCTCCTTTAAACCACTTAAGTTCCAATGGACATCCTGGTCCACCTTTTCAAATGACAGAGTCCGTTAAGCAGGATGGGGTTCTGCCATCTTGCTGGCATTCTTCTGTTTCACCTCTAAGTGTTTTGCTGCAACATAGAAACTTGGGTGATACGTTGCATCCTACAATGCAGAATGGTAGCTCTCCATGTCTTGGACAGGAAAAGTGTCTGAACTGGGCCAGTCAGAAAGAGGGAAACATTTATCACGGGTTCCTTGGAACAATGAATGATCATGAGTCAACAATGTCGTCATCATCACCTTCGCCATCAGTGTCTCAGCAAGATATGCAGAATGTCTCCAGCACTCTTGACAGCCAGTCTATTCATCCAGAAAATGCTGCAGTGTCCAATGGCATTAGCATGGAGATGGAAGACTCCAGATGCTCAGATGTTAACCTGGAAAAGTCATCTTTTGTTCAAGATTTAAATCCAAGCAACCACAGGAAGAAAGTCCAACCATTGCTGCCTCCTGCCATATCACCAGTAACCACTTCTAGCTTATCTTTGACCTCTATGTCCAATATTTTTGAGACACCAACTTTTCAATATATGGCTAACCTTAATGAATCAGGATTTCCTGGCAATTCAAACATGATAAATATATCAAATTTTGATACTTGCAGCACCCAAGATGATGAGTTCCTACATTCCATTGGAAGCAATTTTGATAGCATACTTTAATTTTTTTAAAAAATAATGTTTTGGATTTTTTTACTTTGCGTTAAATGCAATATGGACCTTGGTGCTCACCAAAATCAGAACCAAATGTCAACATTTTGTAGAATGGAGTAATTTTATAGTAGACCAAAGCTACTTCAAATGTTGCATACAGCCACTAGTTCTTGACTTAAGACTGTTTGTTTAATGATGGGTTGAAGTTATGACAGCCCCTGAAAAAGTAACTACCCATCCTTGAAATTATTTTTTTAATACTTGTATTAAATTTATCAAACTATAAAAGACAACTGAAAGTGGGAAAAGAGGGAAGGGAAGAGAAAGAAGTGTAGAGTAGAGAGGGGGAAAGAAAGAAAAATGTTGACTTCCAACTCTTTTAGCATAGTAGAATAATATAATAACATTACATCCTCAACTTTTTTTTACTTTTGCATACTTAACTTGTACCAGCCATTTTTATAACAAAAGTTATGTAATCAGCAAAACCCAAAGTCAGAGTTTCAATTTTTTTTCTAGCACAAAATCCAGAAGTAGTTTCCAAGTAAAAACAAAGTGGGATGTATTCTTTTCTTTGATTAGAGCAGTCAATTTACCCATCTCTGCTAGTTTCACCAGTTTTTCCAGCTATTTATCCATTAGAATTAAAGTATCTCTCAATTTTTGTGCATAAAGGATTCAACATAAAAAACAGCAAGGTTCTAGAATTTTTTTCAAATTCTTTGTCTATTAAGCCCAAAAGAAAAATATCTAGTTTAATTTTTATTTTTATTTTAACAATCTTCAGAATTAAAAAATAAATTTTACTCCAATACTACTTTGCTTTATCACAAATCCACCAAAGATGGTAAAATGTTCCTTCTTTGCATTTACATTTCCAACATACATTTGAAATATCTTTGTATATCTTTGATCATTTATTGGGTGTTAAATACTATTGATATCTCATTTTATAAATTTTATCCTTTAAATTATAATTTAATGTACATTTTAAACCCTTTGTCCATATGTTTTCCCATTGTTCAAGTAAGCATTATATTATACTCAAAATTCTTTGCCCATTGAATCAAGCAATACATCACATATTCATTCTCCAAATTCAGTTTCAATAGCAATTTATAGAACTTGGCAATAACATGTTCATCCTTAACACACAGTACAATTTCAAATTCATTTTTTACACAATCAAACCCATAAATTTTTAAGTCTAATTTAAACCTTTCTTTCAGTTCTAAAAATGTAAATCACTGACAGACAAATCCTTCTGACTCCCACTCTTTTTTAGATTTATGGGTAGGTTCAACTTGATTAAAAAGTATTATTTGTCCATAGGTCCACCAGTCTGGTTTCTTTTCTGAAGAAGACTTCCTGGTCGAAAAAGGTACCTTTGTAGAGAACCTTGTTTTATATTTGTTTCAAATCTTTGGATCTAGCATATCTTACAAAGTGATTCTTAAAATCAACATTTTAACTTTGTCATGTCATAAGTAGGCGTGCCTTCCAAATCTTAGTTCATGGCCTTTAATTCAAGTAATTTTTTATTTTTGAAGAGTCACCCATTCTTTCATCCAAACCAAACAGCATATATCAAAGTAAAATTTCAAATCTGGTAAACCCAAACTTCCTCTTTCTTTAGTATTTTGCAGTAGTTTATATATAATTCTTGGTCTCTTTCCTTGCCATACAAATTTAGAAATGTCTTTTTGTCATTGTTCAAATGGAGTATCTGTTGTCAATATCAGTAAAGTCTGAAATAAAAATAACATCTCTGGTAAAACCATCATCTTAATTACTGAGATTCTACCCAACATGGATAACTGTAAACTATCCCATCTTAATAGATCTTTTTTGATTCTACACAGGTACAAAATTGCTTTGAAATAATTTAGGGTTTGTATTTGTCAATGTAACTCCAAGATATTTAACATTTTTCTCCACCTGATTTTCTTGTCAATATTTCATAATCTTTTGTTTTGTGTTCATTTTTTTAAATCCACCAAAGCTCCAAAGTCATTTAATTTCTTCAAATATTATGTATCAGTTTTTGAGTCTTACAGAAATATAACTCAATCAACAGCAAAAGCTTCCAGTTGATAAACCCCCTTTATAATTTTATGTCTACTTTCTCAGCATGTCTAATATCTCTTTTCAGAATGTAATATAAGCAATAAAGGAGATAAGGGATATCCTTGTCTCATGTTGTTTTGAATTTCACATGGTTTAATTCAATCAATTAGAATAGACCTGGAAAGGACCTTGGAGGTCTTCTAGTGACCAACCCCCTGTTCAAGCAGGAGACCCTATATCATTTCGGTAGGTGGCTATCCAGTCTTTTCTTAAAAACCTCCAGTGATGAAGCACCTACAACTTCTGAAGGCAAGCTGTTAAGTGTCCTCACTGATAGGAAGTTTCTCCTTAATTCCAGGTTGCTTCTCTCCTTGAGTAGTTTCCATCCATTGTTTCTTGTTTTGCCTTCTGATGTTTTAGAAATACTGGAATACTGCTCTCATGTCACCCCTAGTTCTTCTTTTCTCTGGACTGGCCATACCCAATTCCAGCAACCATTCTTCATGTGTTTTTGTCTCCAGGCCCTTAATCATCTTAGTTGCTCTTCTGTGAACTTTTTCCAAAGTCTCAATTTAAAAATTACTTACAATTACAGAATTATTAATTATTAAAGATTATTCATAATCATTAATAATTATTCAGGATTATGAATTATTAAACAATTACTGAAAATTAAGTCTCCATTAATAATGACCCTTCCTTGCTGTAAAGTGTAAATTGCTTTAAATCCTTGTATAAATTTCCTCCTTGAAATTATGACAGTTACACCACTCCTACAGTCATGTTATCACAATTCAACTGCAATTGCTTCAAATTTCCAATGGATGCCGTCTGTTGAGGTTATGTGATCACAATTTGTGACCTGCCCAGCCCTCTTCAGACAAGTACAGTCAGTTGGGGAAGGCAAATTTGCTTACTGAATGTATGATTCATTTAACAACAGTGATATGGTCATAAAATTGGATCTGGTCACATGATAACTCACTTAATAACTACGTCATTTTGCAACCAAAATTCTGGTCCCAATTGTTGTAAGTCAAGGACTATTTGTATGTGCCATTTTTGTGTTTTCACCCTTTTCCAATGTTGCTGTTGAAAAGCAACTATGTGAAACCACTCACTATGTTGAACAACCTTATATATATCTGATCCTGTGTCAGTAAAGATACTTGACCAAAATTCTGAGTTTGGAGATTATCCATGCTTCATCTGCATTACTCTGCTGTGTAATTGGAAACAGTGTTTTTATCTTGGCCCTGGGTAGGAAGCAAGTTAGAATTTATATGGAAGATGCATATTCAAGTTTATTAGAGACTCCATATTATCATCAAACCTGGCTTCTAAAATTACCAGTTGATTGTTGCTATTATTTTTGCCAAGATTGTGCCTCTATCTCCAGTTTATTATCTGATATGAATATACCCTATCTCAGAATAGGGTATATTCATATCCTTACAAGTGCATCTATTGCAGCTAAGAAGATCCAAGTCCTAGGATGTCTATGGAGATTATCAATCATCCAGGTCATGATCATTTCAAAGGTGCTTTTTTTGAAAATCAACTGTTCTTTGTTTTTCCTTGAAGACATTTTGCTTCTCATCCAGGAAGCTTCATCACTTCTGACTGGATAGTGGATTTGGGAGCAGGGGAATGGAAGGATTAGTTCTGTGAGAACTAATCCTTCCATTCCTCCCCCATCATCCAATCAGAATTGATGAAGCTTCTTAGATGAGAAGTGAAACATCTTGAAGGAAAAACTAAGGAAGTCCAGTTGCCTTTTGAAAAAGCATCTTTGAGAGAAGTCCTAGGATCTTCAGTATTAGGCTTGAGGACAAGAGGAAACAAAACATTGTTCGGAGCAACAAAAAAGTTGCTAAATAGAGTAATTAATATTGGAATAGTGGCACTGTATGTGACAGATCTGCTGCTGACAGAGATGTGCTACTTGGGAGGTTAAAGAAAGGACCAAATCTGCCTTTTTACCCTTTTGTGCTGACAGCAACAGTTTCTGTTTGCAACAGCTTTTTGATCCTTGCTTAATGCAAAATATGTAAATATAAAATCTACACGCATAAGCCTTTCCAGTACAGTACCGCATTTATATTATTGAGACCTATCCCAGATATTACAATAATGCTGGGAATAATACAACTTTTGACATGAAAGAATTGACATGAGATTATTACAAAGACAACATTGAAGCATACTAGAAATTAGGGATTAAGTGTTTGGGTAAAGCACTGCCATGTGATCAAAAAGTAAGTAACAGTTTGAAACGTTTGATTCATGATCTATTTAGAACATAGCAAATTACTTTTATCTGCAAGCATTCAAATTGATAATGTTATTGAAGTTGCAATATTTACACTGCTCTCTTGTATAGACTGTCTTAGAGAAAGTCCCACTGAATTTATTGAAGTTGCTTTACAAATGGATATGCATGAAATTTCAGCATTAGTTTTATGCATATACAACACATGTATATAAGGTGTCCTTAATTAAGTGAACCTCTCATGTTTAATTGATTAAGGTTCTTTTCATTGTACATGTTGCCATGTGCATTCAGAGAGGAAGACAAGTATATTGGGTTGTCATTGTAACCACAGGGCTCTAGAAATAAGTTGCAATGGGACATTTCCAAGAAAAGAAATTAATGGGATTGCAAGGCTTGTTAGCCGTTTCTCTTATATGAAACATCTCTGATATGAAATATAGTTAAATTCATTTATCCAATATTACTTTTCTATGTTTTTAGCTTCTTTGCATTCCCAAAATTGATTTAAGCACTTGTTGAGGTAATTCCCCGTTAGGAGAATGAGCGCATACAGGGAGACGTATAGAGAGTAGTGTTGGAATAATACACACAGAGCACACAGATACACTGTACAGTAAATGTAGGTTTTTACTTCCAGAAAGGTTTAAGCAAAGTCCAAAATAAGCAGTCCAAAAGTCATTCACAGGTAAAATCAGTCAGTTTTTCAATCCCGGGATAATCCAAATATCAAATTCCAGTGTCAAAAACAGTTCAGTATCAGACTTACATTAAATCCAGTAATATCAGTCAATTAGAAGAAATGGAGCAACGGCAATATTTTCCAACAGAAGGAAACAGAGATATACTCACACTCTCTTCTGAGACTCAGACTAAGACTAAACAAGCCAGGTTTCTGGCTCCATCTTATGGCCGTTTGAGAAACCACACCCAATTGCATGCTCTTGCATTCCCTTAAAGAGACAGTATTAAAATGTTTATCCTGGTTTATATATTTCTAACCCAAAT